AACTGTATCAAATATTTTAAGCTGGTACTGGATTAATCTAGATCTACCAAAACTACTAAATAATAAGAAATTCACTAATTACATTCCAGAATCATTATTAATGCAGAACTAAATAACTTAAGAACATAGCTTTTAGAGTCAGAAAGCTAGTGTTTGTTTGCATGTTGATTATTTTCCTTCATGTCTGTGTCTTTATCTATAAAATGATTAAAACAGCACCACTTTCATAGGTAAAAGTTGAGAGAATGCATGTAAAGAATTGAGCACTGACATGCAAATAGTTAAGTATTTAATGTTAGTTCAACTCCCAGTACAGCTCCCTCGTGCGCAAATGTTTCCTTAATGAGTATTATTTTTGTTATTAAACTTGGATACAATGCAATGGATTACTTAGGGAAGATGATTTAGCAAGATGCTGTAAGGGGAAGACTGTACTACGAAGAAAGTTTTGAAAAATGTTGCACACATAGCAAAGGTCCCACAACTGTTCTGTGTGTCAGATTGACCACTAGTTAACACCACATTCTTTTGTTGAGTTGTGAATTAGGCTGTTCTATTTTAAGTCACAAAATGGCGTGACTTTAGCTTTGCGTGATAGGTTAGAGTCAAGACCTGCTTAATGTTATTTATTTTTTGTCAGGTATTTGATCAACCAATTTTTTAACAACTTTATAGAAGAATAATAGACATACAATACACCACGTATTAAAAATATAAAATCTGACTTGTTTGGACCCTGAGGAAACCATTGTCATAAAAAAATTGATCAATTTACTTTTTCACTTGTAGCTATTATAAACCTGTTAGAAAAACTGTAGGAAAAGTAATTTTATTACAATTTTGAAATACATTATTCTTCTTCCTGCTCCTCAATTTAGTGTTTCTACAATGGGATATTTTATTATATGAGGTCTCTTAGGGCATAATTTTTTCATTAAGAAGCATGCTTTCTAAAATAACATGCATGTATGGTAATCCAAAAGGGCGAGTCTAAGGTGACTGAGGCTTTTGACTATATAAAGTCAGAAAGAATCTTATGTATGGATATACAAAGCTGGTGATTTATTTATCACTGTTCTTCCAAATCACATCTAAGACTTAGAAAAGATTTCAAAAATAATTCACTGGCAACAGCAGGGAGTGAAAAATCAAGTGTTGAGACTGGTGTGGTAGTAAGTGCCCTCAGGTAGTTTTGTTATGAAGCAGCTACAGGTATCTGGGTCAGTCATTTAACTTCTAGGGTTTGCTTTTTTTCCCATATAAAATAAAAATCACTAGACAATAATATCTAAGTTTACCTATAGTTCTATGTCTTTGTCCCTGGCAAATATGGAAAGTATTCATGCTTTTTATTTTTACTGGTTCTTAAATAAACACTTAAATTTAAAGTAATTTAATACTTTAAATAACAAGATTTGGTTTTGTTATCCACAGGTAAAAAAAATATATATTACAAAGAGAATGCACTTTCTCTTGAAGAGCGTGGGAGTCAGGTAAGACACAGCTCTAGACGCTAGTCCAGTCAGTTGCGCAGGTCCTCGGCCACCCACACTATGCCTTCTGGCTGTTTCTGTAACCCAACTAATCACTCCAATTCCCTGCACAGCACTATCCACTCTCTTCCCACATTCTCACTGTAGGCAAGATTATAAATAAATCCTATATTCATGTGACAGCACCATGCCCAGGCCTGTGTATTTTCTGGGACTAATTGCTTAGGGAAAGCTAATACTCTGGTGAAAGTCTCATTCTAGTCTACATGGTAATTATATGCTAATGCCTTTTGAAATTAATTCAGAACCCTCACCTTAGCATCACAATCAAGGGTAAGGAAGATGAGGTTTGATCACATTGTCTTCTGGGGACTTAACATAAGATTTCTTTTATACATGAATGAGACCACTGATTGGTAGAACTCACTGACTGCTCCTCCACTGGAACAATGCAGCCCCACAGCATCAAAACTGCTGGCGAAGTACTGCCAAAGCTCAGTCACAGACAGGGGCTCCGGCAGACAAACTGTTTCTGACTCTAAAGAAGCTAGAGTATATGTTCAACTGTTTTCTCTTCTACTTATTATAAATTAGCCTCATCCTAGGGCCTTAAAGGAGTCAGATCAACTATAAATAAAAAGAAACTGTAGGTAAAGTAATAACATACAAACAATGATAAAGCAATGAGAAACAATAGCAGCAACTAGTGAGGTTGTAAAAATAATCAAGACATGGATCACTTTACCTCATTTGAGGAAAGAATCTACAAAAATAAATGGGCATGCAGGTGAGCAGGCAAATATGTAAGATTTTCTTTAGCCCAGAAATCTAGTAAGTATAGTCTAAGAGTCCATCGTAAATGCTTCCTACATAAAGCCACCGTGTCCTTTTACAACCTAATACATTGCATATCCAAAGGTCAGCTTTGTAACACTGGCTTTTAGCTTTCCTAGTGCTCATCATTAAATCAATTTCCTATATTATGTTACATACAAATTCCTTATATATCACACAGAAATGATTGCAAATTTTTTCTCAGCTGTAAGAAGAAAGCAGGGAAATGTTTCCCACACAGATTTTTTTCCCATAATCATCTCTGACCTATAGCCAAAAGTCATACAAGAAGATGGGCTATAACTGCTTATGAAACCAGTATGTGCGTTTTCCCATTCTCTCAGCTGTTCAAGATGCTTCATGAACACCTGAGGAAGAAGAAAGTGGCCTGCTTCTGGGACTTACTTTCAGAAACAAATATATTAATATAAACAAACTAAAAAAGAACTGAAACACACAAATCTATGCAAAACCATTATTTTATAAGTAATACCAGCTGAAATGTATTAAGATTACTATGAGTCAGATACTGTGGTGAACCTTCAAGCTCTACTACAAAGCCACAGTAATCAAGACATAAAGGAGCCATGGATATACAACGGGAATATGACTGCCTCTTCAACAGCTGGCGTTAGCAAAACTGAACAGCTACATGTAAGAGAATGTAATTGGATCATTGTCCAACTCCATACACAAAAGTAAACTTGAAATAGATCAAAGATCTGAATATAAGTCATGACAGCATAAAACTCTTAGATGAAAACATAGGCAAAACTCTCTTGAATATAAACATGAACAACTGTTTCATGAATGTATCTCCATGGGCAAGGGAAACAAAAGCAAAATGAACAAGTGGGACTATATCAAACTAAAAAGCTTCTGTACAGCAAAGGACACCATCAGTAGAACAAAAAGGCATCCTACAGTATGGGAGAATATATTAATAAATGACATATCAAATAAGGGGTTGACATCCAAAATATAAAAAGAGCTCACACACCTCAACAAACAAAAAGCAAATAATTCAATTAAAAAATGGGCAGAGGAGCTGAACAGACACTTCTCCAGTGAAGAAATTCAGATGGCCAACAGGCACATGAAAAGATGCTCCACATCCCTAACCATCAGAGAAATGCAAATCAAAACCACAATGAGGTATCACCTCACACCAGTTAGGATGGTCAACATCCAAAAGACAAACAACAACAAATGATGGTGAGGATGTGGAAAAGGGGAACCCTCCTACATAGTTGGTGGGAATGTAAATTAGTTCAACCATTGTGGAAAGCAGTATGGAGGTTCCTCAAACTCAAAATAGAAATACCATTTGATGTAGGAAATTTACTCTAAGAATGCAGAAGCCCAGTTTGAAAAAGACATATGCACCCCTATGTTTATCACAGCACTATTTACAGTAGCCAAGATATGGAACCAACCTAAGTGTCCATCAATAGATGAATGGATAAAAAAGATGTGGTACATATACACAATGGAATATTATTCAGCCATAAGAAGAAAACAAATCCTACCATTTGCAACAACATGGATGGAGCTAGAGGGTATTATGCTCAGCGAAATAAGCCAGGTGGAGAAAGACAAGTATCAAATGATTTCACTCATCTGTGGAGTATAAGAATAAAGCAAAAACTGAAGGAACAAAATAGCAGCAGACTCACAGAACCCAAGAATGGACTAACAGTTATCAAAGGAAGAGGGACTGGGGAGGATGGGTGGGAAGGGAGGGATAAGGGGAAAAAGGGGCATTACGATTAGCACACATAATGTGGTGGAGGGGGCATGGGGAAGGCAGTATAGCACAGAGAAGATGAGAAGTGATTCTATCGCATCTTATGATGCTGATGGGCAGTGACTATAATGGGGTATGTGGTGGGGACTTGATAATGGGTAGAATCTAGTAATGACAATGTTGCTCATGTACGTGTATATTAATGATACCAAACGAAAAAAAAAAAGAAAAAAAATGTTAGCTGAATGAATGACTGATTGAACAAGCAAATGAGTATCAAACTAAGATAAACTGAACACAGAAACCCTGACTATAAATTTAGGAAAATAAGAACAACCTTTTCAGATCACTGATGAAATCATCTACAGAGTAATTAGCAGAGGATCAGTCATTTCCTTAGCTTCTGTTATTTCTATCCTGTTCCTAAATGAGTAACCTATGTGGCCTTAACTCACAGCATCAACTTCACAGATATTAACCAATCCTTGACAACCTTGTTGGCTCGAACTCTTTTCCAAAAACTAAACAGTAACAAAAACAAATGTCACACTTATAGATAATTCAAAAGCTAAAGAGAGTTTTGATAAATAGTAATATTATATTAATGTACTAATTAAATACACAATTTTAATAAACAAAAATTAGAACCTTTTAGAATTCATATTAAAAACAAGTCTTATTCTTTTAATATTCCATAAGATTTTACTTAGGAGCCCCTAAATTATTTTGTGAGATCAGTTCTTATGCAAGTAGCAAGTAATATTTGTAAGCAACAATATGACTTCTGTTTCTGTTTCGGAAAATGATTTTCAATAGTTGAAGAACTATAATTTTTAATATTCTTCCACTTTACCTCATTTTCCTGTATACTATCCCTTTATCCCTTCACCTCGCCAAAACTGAAACTAAAAATACATGCCCCTCACCTCTAACAGTTCATCTCCGATACGCATCCGTCCATCTGTGGCAGCAGGTCCTTCTGGGTTAATTCCCACCACAAATATGCTCATGCGTGACCTGTCTTTATTACCAGCGAGGCTGAGGCCAAGTCCATTCTTTTCCTTTTCAAGTTCAATAATGTGCAATTCTCCAGGCAGGTCTGCATATCTTTGCCTGATTTTTTCTATTAAAAAAAGAAAAGGTAAAAAGATATTTAAATGGAGTGCTGGCATTTTTTTGAGGCTGGTATAATCCTGATTCTGTTTTCAAAAATAGAGACAAATCAAGGAAAGAAAATTATAATCTCATTTAACTTACGATCATAGATGTGAAAGTATTTTTAAAAGATAATTTAATCAAGAGTGCATTAAAAGTAATTTAATGTGACCTCTATGATAGAGTCGATATATGACCATTTTCTGACCTAAGAAATGGCAATTTCATATGATTCAAACTATGAGTATATTATGAAGAAGGGTGTATCCCAGTAATACAAAGATAGTTCAAATCAAGAATTGTTTCAAGGAAAATCACCACATTAATAAACCAAAGCAGAAAAGCTGGAACGTTATGTTACTAGATGGAGAAAAGCATTTGAGAAGGCATAATATCTACTTAAGATATTTTTAAAAATCCCAAACTAAACAGAAACTACAATGAATGGTATTTTCTGAACTTAAATTTATAAATAGGAAATATAACAGGAAAAGATATTTGCAGTATTTAAAAACAACAAGGAATATATAGAGAACTTCTATAAATCTAGCAGAAAAAGATAGTAATGCCAATAGAAATATGTTCAAACGATATAAAACTCAGAAGGCTCACGGACATCTGAAGCAATGCTCAAATTCATTAGCAATTACGGAAAGCAAATTAAAATCAGATACCAGTTTAACATTAGACTGACAATGATCTGAAAGCTGGATCATTAAGCCTTAGTGGAGATAGGAGGATAACACAGCAATCCTCACGTACTGCAGTCCCAAGTGCTGAATGGTGCAGCCATTCTGAGGACAGTCTGGCACTACTTAGTCAAATTAAGCATACACATACTCTACAAACCAGCAATTCCACTCCTGTGTATATGTATCCTAACAAATCCTTACACAGGTCTCAAGGGGACAACGGGCAGATGTTTCTTACATTGTTATTTGAGATAGCAGGGAGTTGGAGGTTGACACCCAGATAACCACTGGGAGTGGATATATGAAACATGTGGATGGACATCACAGTGTAGTACTGGCACACTCAGAAGCAAAAAGTTGGAATTAGTGATAAAAAGATTTTTCAAAACAGTCCTGAATGAAAAGGTGGCAAAACACAATAGGGTGTACTGTTTATTTAATATAATTTATGCAAATTAAGATTACCACACAAAAACCCACAATAGATATTTTGGAAGGGCATATATAAAGACACAAATACTTCACACTTGAGAATGATAATTTATGGTGGGTGGAAAGGGAAGGGAATACAAGGCAGCAAAGAAAATTATATAGGGACCACAAGCAATTCAAACATGGTAGCATGCTATGAGGGATTGTATTTAATGTAATCCTCTGCCCCTGGGAGCTGAAAAATGAATGATGCTGAGAGAGGCTTTAGTGTTGTGTTAATATAGAAAGACATCCAGGTTCAAAACTTGTATGACCTTTTCAACCTTCAGAGAAAAAAAAACAACCTTCATGGCTATGAACTATGTATTCAACTGCTTAAACATGTAAATGATTAATGGCAAGAATTCTCCTTTGGTAAAATATGGCTCCATCACAACTGATGAACAACTCAGATTAACTGTGCAATGAATGGTGAATGTCTAATAATACATTCTTGTGACAGAACAGGAAGAGCAAGGGCTAAAGGGTAAGAATTCAGTTCAAACCCTAGCTGAGGCACTTAACATCACTGGTTCCTTGGACCAATTACTGAACCTCTAATACAGCAGACTTCTTATTTGTAAAATGGGGTTATCTTAAAAATGGATGTTACCTAGAAATGTGTGGGACATAGGGTCCAAATAATGCTGGGAGGAAAATACAACCATGATTTGTTCCCATGATTGTTATGATGAGGTTTTTAATTAGTCTTATATTTGCTGACAAAGCTACTCTTCTCTTCTTTGTCTATCTTGAGGAAAACTGAGGCAAGTGTGAAAGGAGGCAATGGTTGCCAATGGCAATAAAGGAAGCAGCCAGGCAGTCCTCACTTGGGAACCATTAGAGGAAGGTGCTAGCATCATCCTCCCCCAGATTTTCTTCTCCGCCTTACTCATACTGAGGAGTCCTGGGAGACTTGTGCAGGCGCAAATGGTACCACCACTGGAACAAGTGTTTGTCCCTTCAGACATAGGCCACTGATGTGGCTTTAAAATTGTGTGCTTTTCAAGTGTGGAATTAAAACTCTTACTACAGTTTCAGTTTGGGAAAATGAAAAAGTTCTGGAGATGGGTGGTGGTCATAGTTGCACAACAACATGAATGTACTTAACACCACTGAACTGTACACTTAAAAATGGTTAAAACAGTAACTTTGTTATGTGTATTTTGCCACACACACACACACACACACACACACACACACACACACACACACAATCTATGGGGGCTTAAAACACCCTTTAAAAATATTAGTTCCCTTATCAATATCCCACCAAAGGACTAAGTTATAGATTTATTATCCTGATGTTTTAAAACCAGCAGCCCTGCTTTTCTGGCCAATGGTTTGTTCTGGCACTACTATAATCCTATTTATTCAATTAACAAATAGTGATTGAGTCCAAATTTCTTCCAGACTATGGTACAAAGGGCATACTATGGACTTCATTAAACTCTGTCACTGAAGACAAGCTTAAATATGACTAGTTATAATTTCAGAGAGATAAGGGCTATGAGAAAAATGTCAGCAGCTGAAGCCAACCATCCATTTTACTGAGTCATCAGGAAAACCAACTAATGTTTGTGAACTACACTAAATATTACAGATATTCTAGCCAGCTCACAACAGCTACTGGTCAGATATACCTTAACTATATAATACCCAAACCTCACTTTAGTTGACAGTTCAAATAATCCTGCATCCAACTTCTTCCAGCTTTATTTGCCTAAACACTAACAAATGAGTTATTCAGCTTTCCTTCACTACTACCTTCCTACTTTCTTGAATGGGAGAAGAGGGTAAACTCAACAGAATAAAGCTCAGAAAAAAAGAAAACCACAGAATAAGAAAAATTGTCCATACTTGAGTGGTTATGAAGTTATATTAATAACATACTGAGGACCTGCTAAGTGCAGAAACTATACTAAAATCATTTAATACATGTTCTCTATTCTTCTATAAACAATCCTTATCAGGTAAGAATTATCTTCTCTGCATTCAGATGTGGGAAATAAGACTCTGAGATGCTAAATAATTTGCCTAAGGTCACCTAGCTAGAAACTGATATAATAAAGATATAAACACAGCTTTGACGGACTGTCTTCACAGTACTACTGTCTGCAGGTATCTTTTTAGATTTCTTATTTATTTCTCCTTTTCTATTCTAGAACACAAACTCCATGATGCACCTTGCTCATCTAGCTCACTGCTGTCTTCTGCACCTAAAACAGTGCCTGGCATATATTTGGTGAGTAATATGTGTAATATATACATGTTGAAAGCATAAAGGGATGATTTCTAAGGTCTTCTGTTGCTATGCCATATTGTTTTGCCAGTAGCCCAAAAGATATTACATAAAAGCTTGAGACTCAAAAACAGTAGACACGTGCCATTTTTTTTCAAAGAGAATGCATTCTTTCCTTTAAAAGAAGTAGAAGGGGAATGGTCTCTTTAGATTGGTATTCAAAAGTAACAAAATCCCTTAGCACAGCTAGAAAACCAAATTACTATGTGTATATTATCTTTCAAAATCCACTCTATTAAACTGAAGAAACTTGAAAAGCAAAAAGGATTATAGTTTATATTTTTCAGCATATAATAAAACAGTATGACTAATAAGACAATAAAAGTGCCAAATGCTCTGTAACACATATGCTCTTTAATCTTCAGTTAAATTCTAATTTTTAAGATTTTTAGGATTCAGAATTTGGGTTAGCCTACAATTTTTGTTTAGCGTCATATAACTAGAATGGCTTAAAGATGACAGGTCCAACTCTTCAGATAAATTAAATGCTATGTTTTCACCATTTCATGGAATCAGAGACTTTAAATTTAGGCAAAACAAAGAAGTAAAGATACCTTCTCTTAAAGCAACCCCCTCCCCCGTCCATTCCATTTTTTAAATAAAGAAATAAGACCGAAGAAATGAAGATTTTTGTATAATGTTACGAAGCTTATTTATAGATAGAAACTAGAGTCTTCTAATATGTAGTTGAATTCTTTCTTTACCAAATCATGTTAACTTTCTCCAAGAACATTTATTTTTTATTTTTTATTTTGGTATCATTAATCTACAATTACATGAGTCCAGTAACATTTTTAAAGAATAAAAATGACTTCAAATTTCACCCTCAGTTAAAAGAGTTTATCTTTAGAATCCTGGTATTATCATAAAACCTCCTTTATGAAAGAAACAGTTCATGGGTCACCTTGTCACTGAATCTTCCCCACACCTTTGTAAGCACCTCCCTTTGCAGCTGAGTGGACTGATACTCTGAAAGGTAAGGTGATTTGACCAGTGTTTGGGCTAGGTCTGCTGAATCCAAGGGCTGTATTCTCTGTATTACACCACAGCTATCTCTTAGACTGGAGAATTTTAAATAATAAGAAGCTCCCCCAAGGGAGGCTCAAACAATGGTTCTTAGATTATTTGCTAGACTGGCCACCTAAAAATTGCCCTTAGAGCATATAAACCAGAATCATGACTGGGCTCCCTCAGCTGAGATTCCTGAGCCAGTCAGTCTGGGGCAAAGTTTAAGAATGGTGTCAAGTTCTTTTTATAGTAAAGTCCTTAGATGATTCTCATGAGCTGCTAGGTCTATAAAATAACAGACTAATCTCCCATGCAATGCAGAAAATTTTTCTGCAGTGATGACAGCCAGAAAGTGCACAGATACAAAATTTTAAGGCAGTCTTTAAATATGCCCTTCACAAGACTAATCTAATATGGGGACTATCTCTGGCTCTATATTATTGTCTCAGGATTAAATAAGAAATTTGTTTTGATAATCACTGTAGAATATCAATC